GGCAGAAGAATGGATTAGTGAGCTAGAAGGCAGATTAGTGGAAATCACTACTGCAAAACAGAAAAAAATAATGAAAAGAAGTGAGGACAGTTTACGAGAGCTCTGGGACAACAGAAAGTGCACTAATACTCACATTACAGGGGTCCCAGAAAGAGAAGAGAGAAAGGACCTGAGAAAACTTTTGCAGAGATAATAACTAAAAACTTCCCCAACTTGGGAAAGGACACACTCACCCAAGTCCAGGAATTGCAGAGTTCTACACAGGATCAACCCAAGGAGGAACCCACTGAGGCACATAATAATCAAATTGACAAAGATTAAGGTTAAGGAGAAAATATTAAAATTAGCAAGAGAAAACTAACATAAGGGAACTCCCATAAGGTTATCAGCTGATTTTTCAGCAGAAACTTTGCAAGCCAGAAGGGAGGGGCATGATATATTTAATATGATGAAAGGAGAAAACTTACAACCAAGCATACTCTATCCAGCAAGGCTCTCATTCAGATTTGATGGAGAAATCAAAAGCTTCACAGATAAACAAAAGCTGAAAGAATTCAGCACCACCAAACCAGCTTTACAACAAATGTTAAACGAACTTCTCTAGTCATCAAAACACAAGAAAAGAGAACAAGCAGACAGGAAAAAAAAAACCTACAAAAGATTGCTTTGGTAATTCGGGTTCTTTTATGGTTCCACATACATTTTGGAATTGTTTTGTCCTAGTTCTGTGAAAAGTATCATGAGTATTTTGACAGGGGTTGCACTGGATCTGTAGATTGCTTTAGGCAATATGGCCATTTTGATAATGTTGATTCTTCCAATCCAAGAGCACAAGGTGTCTTTCCATTTTTTTGTATCATCTTCAATTTCCCTCAGTGTTTTACAGTTTTCAGAGTATATAAACTTAACCAAGGAAGTTACCTATCTAGGTATTTTGTTGTTTTTGATACAATGGAAATGTTTATGCCGTTTATAAAATTCACTTTTTTTTCATTTAAAAAAACCCAGAATGAAGGGCCATAAATGGCAAAATATCCTTTCTTATGAGTGAGTTCTATTCCACTACATATATATGCTGCCTCTTCTTTATCCATTCATCTATTGATGTGCACTTAGGATGCTTCCGTATCTTGGCAATTATGTTACTGTTAATAGTGGGGTGTAAGTATCTTTTTGAATTATTTTGTGGTTGGCTTTATCCCTTTGATAACTATGTAAGTTTAAAAAGCTAAAGTTCTAAACGTTCTTAGAAACAATGTATAGTACATATATGTAATTTTTAAAAATGTGCAGTATATTGTATATGTGCAAATTGTAACAATTCTACCTAAAACTGAAAAAAGACAAATCACCTGAAAGAATAAGTAAAACAAGAGTTCACCAGTCTACTAGACCCTGAGATCAAAAAGATGGTAATAAAAATGCTAAATGAATTAAAGGATAATTAACAGAAATGCAGATCACTGGAAAAAGGAACTAAAAACTATAAATCAAAACAAGACAACCCAACAGACAGTGCAATTGCTGAGATAAAAACAATCTAAAAGCAATGAATAGCAGACTAAATGACACAAAAGAATGAATTAGTGGCCTGGAAGACAGATCAAGACAAACCCAAACAGATCCACACCAAGACATGTCATAACTAAAATGGCAAAAGTGAACGCTAAAGGGAGGATTCTAAAGGCAGCAAGAGAGTCAGTCACAAGGGAACCCACATAAGGCTATCAGCTGATTACAGAAACTTTGCAGGCCAGAAGAGAGTGGCATGATACATTCAAAGTCCTGAAAGGTGGGGTAAAACAATCCACAACCTAGAATACTCTACCCAGAAAGATTATCATTTAGAATAGAAGGCGAGATAAAGCTTTCTCAGAAAAGCAAACACTAAAGTAATTCAGCACTACTCAACCTACTCTAAAAGAATTATTGAAGGCTCTTCTCTAAATAAGGAAAAATCAAACAACCTAACCTACCGCCTAAAATAATTAGAAAATGATCAAGAAAACCAAGAGCTGTACTTTTTTTAAAGATAAAGTCAACAAACCTCCAGCCAGGTCCACCAAGAAGAGAGGACCCAAATAAACAAAATAAGAAACACAATTTGAACACACTGATCACTAGAAGTAAAACAGATTCTGTAATCAGAAAAACTCCCTGCAAACGAAAGTCCAAGCCTGGATGGCTTCCCTGGGGAATTCTACAAAACATACAAAGAACTTACACCTATCCTTCTCAAACTATTTCAAAAAACTGAAGAGGAAGGAACACTCCCAGATTCATTCTGGGCCACCATCACCCTGATACCAAAACCAGAAAAAGACACTACAAAAAAAACCCCAAAAAACAAAAAACAACTATAGGCCAATTATCTTTGATGAATACAGATGCAAAAATCCTCAATAACATTAGCAAACTGAATCCAACAATACCTTAGAAGGATCATACGCTATGATCAAGTGGGATTCATTCCAGGGTCACAAGGACAGTCCAACATATGCAAATCAATGTGATACACTACATTAACAAAAGACAAAAAACACATGATCATCTCAATAGATGCAGAAAAAGCACTTGACAAAATTCAACATCCATTCATGATAAAAACTCTCACCAAAGTGAAAATATCTCAACATAATAAAGGCTATTTACAACAAACCCACAGCCAAAATAATACTCAACAGTTTAAAGCTGAAAGCCTAACTGCTAAATTCAAGAACCAGACAAGGATGCTCAGTTTTACCACTTCCATTCAACACAGTATTGGAAGTCCCAGCACAGCTGCCAGACAAGAGAAAGAAAGAAAAAGTATGTAAATTGGAGGGGAAGGGATAAAACTGTCAATAATTGCAAATGACATGGTTATATAGAGAGACCTGAAGTCTTTAAAACACAAAAACTATTAGAATACATGGATTCAGCAAGGTAACAGGATACAAGATTAATAAGCAGAAGTCTATTGCATTTCTTTACACTAATAATGAAATATCAGAAAAAGAAAATTTTTTAAAGTCTTGTTTAAAATTGTATCAAACAAACAAAAGCATCTAGGAATAAACTTAACCAAGGAGGTGAAAGACCTATACAAAAACTGATAAAGGAGACTGAAGGTGATTCAAAGAAATGGAAAGGCACCCGGTGCTCTTGGACTGGAAGAATTAATATTGTTAAAATGGTCATACTACCCAAAGCAATCTACAGATTTAATGCAATAGGTATCTAAATACCCATGACTTTTTTTTTTAAACAGAACTAGAACAATTAACCCTAAAAGTTATATGGAACCACAAAAGACCTAAAACTGCGAAAGCAATCCTGAAGAAAAAGAACAAAGCTGGAGGTATAACCCTTCCAGACTTCAAACTGTACGCCAAAGCTAGGGTAATCAAAGCAGCATGGTACTGGCACAAAAAAAAAATATAGATCAATGGAACAGAACAGACAGCCCCCAAATAACCCACACATCTATAGTCAACTCATCTACAACAAAGGAGCCAAGAATATACAATAGAGAAAAGACACTCTCTCGAACAAGTGGTGTTGGGAAAGCTGGATAACAGCATGTAAATCAAATCACTCCCTCATACCATATACAAAAAAACCTCAGATTGGTTCAAAGACCTAATTATACGAACATGATACCATAGAACTCCTAGAAGAGAACATAGGCAAAACATTTTCAGACATAAATCACAGCAAGATTTTCTTAGATCCATCTTCCGAGGCAAAAGCAAAAATAAACAAATAGGACCTAATCAAACTTAAAAGGCTCAGCATAGCAAAGGAAACCACTGACAAAACGAAAAGACAACTTACGGAATGGAAGAAAATTTTTGTCAACAATGCGTCACCAAGGGGTTCTTGATTTAGATGCTACTAATTAGTGGTGTCTGCAAAAGGTACGGGGATGAGATTTAAAGTACTTGAGCATTTATTACTTGTCAGTGTTTTGTAACTGATACTTTCTTCTATAGTTAACTTCTGGATGAAGACTTCAACATTTATTTGGTCCATCTGAGTCATGCCATGCCCTTGAAAAAATATTATTTCTCTAATTCAACACATTAACTTATGTTGCTCCCCCGTTTTTTTAGTTCTAAATCCCAGGGTATGACCTAAAAGCAACCATAGTAGAAACTTCTATTAATAAGAAAGGTATAAAACCAATCACACTATTTCAGAAACCAAAATAAAAATGTAGTAACTTACTTGAGGTGGTTGAACTTTTCTTCTTTTTCCAGAAAAATTCTAGATTAAAAGTAAAAAAAAAAAAAAAGTGATCAGTGCTTAGAAACATCTAAACAATTTTCCTTTATAGACTGGTGAACAAAATAAGGAAAAACCCTGGTAGAAACAAAGCCCACAAACTCGCCGACCAGTATCTGTAAGTGGTATCTGCCTTCTTTTACTTTAGAAGTTATCCTCCAAAGATGATATTAAAAGTACACAGTAGTAACATCACAGCAACATGCTTGTCCCTGGCTACACACAATTTCCCATTAATTTCCAGCTTCTAATGAGGGTGAGTGATTATGGAGATGCTCTGAGGATTTTCTACTTAGTTTCCCTTCTTAGAACATTTCCATCCCAGGACACTGAACAAGTGAAGCAGCAACAGACAGAGGAAAACTGAATGAGGAATACCAGGCAAAGGGATGAACACACACACACAGCCTTGACTGACTGCAGTGGACACGGTGGTTGTCTCAGTGAGCAGCTATCCACTGCTCCTCCCTGTGAGAGGGGGGGTCGCACCCACTGATCCATCCCACCCGTCTTGTCAGTTACCAGAATGGGCACAGGCCCAATTATGGCCAATGACTAAGGAGAGGTCCACTAGGGAGCATGGGGAGAGCTTCTGGGAAAAACTTCCTCACTTCTCAGAGTAAGCCCTGAAAGGAGGCTGTTCTGGACAGGACACCCGAAAGCACAGCAGCTCTCTTACCATCTGCCTGAGGAAAAAGCCAACACGAAGCAGAGCTGAGGGGAAAGAGCCCAGTTCTTTGACAATCATGATCTAGCACAATAAATCAATTAACCCTGCAGACTGTATTCCTGTTGAACCCATTTTATAAGATTATTTCCACACTGTTTAAGCCAGTTTGAGTTTAAATATCTACTACTTGAAACAGATAACAAACATTCTCACCCACACACTACTGTGTTTTTTAAAACCCTGATCTAGTGAATTATTTCTTGACTTTGTTCCTAGTTTCACAGTACCACAGCTCCTGAATGGTAAATGAGTACACTAGTACATTTGACACTGCAACGTAGGTGGCACGTTTTCCTCATGAACACTTCTTACTCATGAGATTTAGAAGAAAAGGTAAAAATTCTCATCTTTCTTTGTGTCAAAAGCTACTTTCAAAGAATTCTGAGGTTCGCCTCTCACCAGGAGCTTTGGTAAGCGGGAAACTAGTGACTGCCGGAACTGCTCAGTATGCAGGGGGTGCTGATGTAAACGTGCTCCTTCCTTTGCCAAACAGAGCTGGGTACCTGCGGTGGAGCCTATGGGCAGGTAAAGGCTTAGTCTCCTACCCTCCTAAGAAGTGGCTTTTTACCTTGATGAAAATATACTTCCTCTTGTTTTCCTAACAGCTTAACCTGTAAAATATGGACAGTTTCCATGTCACCGAACAATCAATCACTGAATTACGAAACCAAAGTGAGAAGTATCAGATCAAGGACATTAGTGGGTCAATGACTCAAAAATAGTAAAATGTGGCTTTGGGGACTTGTTTTAGGTCTGAGCCAAACAGCTGACAAGCAGAGCACTTAAAACATACCTGCTGTGGGTCCACTGGACTAGCTTTAACTTTTTTTTTCCTTAAGGTACAAGGAGCTCTCAGTGTAAAAGGTAGAAATTTGAATGTTTTAGTACCTGACAGGAAATATTTAGCACAGCACACTAAATAAACAGCTAGACAGAGATAATTCAAAATTGTCTTTACTTTCCCATTGTGTTACCTTAGAAGGTAATTTACAGTTACCCTTATAATGCCCGTGTCTCGAAGGTTATTAAACACATGTACGCAGAGGTCCAGGGAACCCAAGCTCTAAGGAAACCCAGTGATAAAGCCTCTTCCATGACCAACCTTCCTTACTCCTAACCAGTTGTGAAGAGTTACAGGGCAAGTGCCTTTAACATTTCTTCTCTTCTAGTCCCACTGCCCTGATGCAGACTTTCATTTCTCCCTGGTGTGGACAAAGGTACGTTTCCTAAGCTACTTTCCTTGACTCCGACCCTCTCTCCAACTTGCAACTTCCCAATGCCACCAGACAGGAACCAAAAATTCAGGTTTCTCTTTCTCAAAACCTTAATTGTGCTCCAGTGACAATGGAATTGCAAACTGGCTACTGTGACCTTCAGGCCCTCCAAAATGTGTTTGCAATTTTCCAGCCGGATCCATTTGTCTACCTCATGCTACAGGCCAACCATCACCTTCACAAATGCACAACCTGCATGCGTGAAGTTGACATGGCCTCCAATGCTCTCTTCTCACCATGCTTCTCTTTAAAACCAGGACTTACCGTTACAGACTACAGTTAAGATACCACCTAGTCAGTACTTTGGAACAAAGTTAACATACCTTTAAAGGTCCAACAATTAACTTATCAGCCAAGTCCTATCCATTCATTTGCATATTTATTCAACGCCTACTACACTCTGTGTTCAAAGATGAACAAGACAGTTCCTGCCATTCAGAGGCTGAAAATATAGTGTGAAAAATAGTTGTGTGAACATATAATTATAAGTGAGAAATGCTATAAAATGAACAAAGTACTGTGTAAATATACTTGTGAAGCGTATTATACTTACTGTTTTCAAGGGTTGTAAGTTTAAAATCAGTAATTCTCTGTAAATACTCAGACTGTTATCTTTTAAATGGTCTGTTAAACAATGCCCTTAAAGAATTTTAAAACATTACCACATTCAAATCTTTCCATGTTGCATGTGAAACGTAAAGATCTTTAGAACTATTACATGTAAAAGTGCAACAAATACTAGTCTTTCTTGTAATCCTGTTTTATGTATATCTGTTTCATAAATGGAAAGAATTTTACACCTAGTTCTGTTTTATGAACAGAGTACAATTTTATATCCTTTTTCTGTTTCCCTTTTCACATGCTGTGCTTCAAGGTCACCCGTGATAATCAGTCTCTAGCCAACTTTGTTTAGAACTCATTTACATGTGAACCTGAATTAAACACATTGCAGCTAAAAACTTTTCAGAAGTTCAATTTCTAACAAAAGTTCAATCCTTAAGAAATTTAATGATCTCAACTTTCCCTTACTTTCTAACTTCAAATACTTTAACCTTCTGGGGACAGCATTTAAGGTCTTGTACAATCTGTTTCTATCTCTTTAACCAAACATCTAAACATTCTGTCCTGTGTATAAATGGATCTCCCGAAACAAGATTATGATTTGAAGTGCTTGTTCTTTTGTTAACTAAATTTAGTAAGAGATGTATGTTAAGCTTTTGTAAATCAGAATCAGAGAGCAAAGATAAACGATGGAGCAAAGTCTCACTAATACTATGATACTCTCTTGTAAGATCAGTTCTTTTGTTAACAAGAGTTATATTAACGAGGTATGAAATTGTCCTAGATAAAAAATAACCTGCCTAGGGATTTCTAATGAAGAAATGAGAAAAAAGCGTATGGCAGACTGGTGCAGGAAAAGGCAAAACATCTTTATGAAGTTTTCTAGGAAGACACAAAGAATAATCCTAAAAGTGGAAGGAACTTTGTAATTATGTAGAACCACCAACAAACCTTCTACAATGAGAGAAGGCCAGAGGAATTGTGTGACTTGTCCATGTTTATACCGCTACTTCATAGATGGTTTCTGAAACGAAATGAAGGTTCGTGTTCACTGAGTTTTACCACGTGCTGGACAGTGTGTAGCGTGCTGACTGGCACTGTCTTATTTAGTCCTTGCTTCAGCCCTCAGTACTTTAAAAACCTCATTTCATATTTAAGGGAAGTAAAAGGGAAATATTTCTTTTTTCTATCTCACTCAAATCCCAATTTACTTTGGAAATACTGCTGTTACTCCAAAAATTCTAAATATATTTTCACCAGTGACTTATAATGATTCATGTTAACTGAGCTATTTTACATATTTCAGATATGAGTTTTAGTATAATTTTCATTAAAATGTAGTCAATTTTAAATTTTTGCTCACTTTTACACGACTTTAGTTCTTTCTAATATGGCACTGCTTTAAAACAAACATTAAACCCCAGGAAAGGCAGGTGTTATGTATAATCACCCCAGAAGACGGCAGAAAACAACACAGTGAGCTCAGGATTGCCTATCTGAAACACACTGATAGGACAAAGAGGATACTTATCAGCACAGATTGTTTTTAATGTCCTTGGAAAAAGAATGAATGAATAAATAAATGCATGCTAGTGTTAAGGAATTAAGCAAATATAGACTAGTCTTCCAAAAAGTCTGGTGGTTAGGATAAAGAAAAAGGTAGGGTGGCAGATTGAGGTGTGTGCTGGTTTGGTATAGGGGAGAGATGGAACTGTGTATGAGCTCAGGGAAGGAGTCTGTGGAGAGGGAGGGATTAAAGAGACAGAAGGGATAAATGACAGCCAGGTCCCAGAGGAAGCCTTAGCTTTGTAAGAGAGCAAGTTCAGAGTGACAATATTCACCACTATGCCACGGAAATGGCCTAAGTTTGAGTATTTGGGTAATGTACAATAAAAGTACCCCTTTTTAAGAAATTAAGAGTCTATAAAACAATATTCAGAATCACAATCTTTAAAGAACTAGGTAACTCTCTACAAAGAACTATGTTCATTCATCACTGAATTATTAAAGTCTTTTGCACACAGCAGATCAATGAGTGAATTGTTACATGATGAATAATCCTAAAATAGCATTAATTTCTTAAAGACATTTATACTTACTACAGATTGAAAATATTCAGGAGAGATGCCTTCCAACTCAAGGATTTTATCTTCAAGTTTTTTAATTCTCTGATAAATGTCTCTTGGCACTGGACCACCTAAATACATTAAAAAAAAATCCAAGGTATGATTAGTTAATTTTTCTTAAAACTTTTCTTCTTAAAATACCATGCGAAGACATGTATGCAAAAGAATGGGAAATAACTTAAATTTAAGAAAATACAGAATGAAATCTTTAGCTCACATTTTCATACTATACACTAAGGGGATATATTACTATCTACACCTCTCCCCAACCTCCATTTATGCTTCTTACGTTGCTAGGAGTTTTGTTTTATGTTAAATTCATTTTACAAGACTGAATAGTTCCTGTATAGAACAACTTGTATTTCTGATAGGCTCTGACAGCTACTTAGGAGGAGAAAAATGCATTTTGACAACTGATAATTCAATTCAGTGGTTGCAACATATCTTATCATTTTCTTCAACTTATATTTCTCCTTATGTGCCATATTTTCTCCTTTAACCTAGGAGAACATTAAAAAAACATATGGTAAAGCTCCTTTACCATAATTCTTAACAAACAAACCTTCTAGGGAGTGGAGCAGTAAAATTAAGGTTACTCAAATTTCCAGGTTATTATTATACCCCAAATCCTTTCATTTCTCAGCACCTCCGATGTATACATTATGGTCCAGACCACCACCCTCTCTCCCTGGATTATCACAACCTCTAAATTGGTCTCCCTGTTTCTGCCTTGCACCCAGAGTCTATTTGCAACACAGCTGCCAATGATCCTTTAAAAATGTAATTCAGATAGTGTTAACTTCTCTGCTCAAAACCTTCCAATACCTTCGCATCTCACTCAGATTAAAAACCAAAGCCTTTACAATAGTCTACAAGGTCCTACACAATTTGGACACTCTCCCCAAATTCGTATCATTCCAGCCACTTGATTCCTTTCTTCTGTTACTCAACTAGGCTACGCACCCTCACAGCTTTAGCGCTCGTGTTTCCCTCCATCTCCACATTCACAAGGCTTGCTCTCGCCAGCTTCAGGTCTTGACTCAGAAGTTACTTTATCGGTAAGGCCTTCTCTGACCACCCTTTAAAAAATACCAGTGCTACCACCTCCCCCTACCTAGCACTCCCGTATAACCTCTTCCCCTTATTTTTCTTGAAACCACTACTACCCCTTGACAGTCTGTGTATTTTGTTTATTTATTGCCTGTTTCTCCACTCTAATAAAAGCTCCAAGAGAGTTCACTGAGTATGGCTGCGCAGTCTGCGCACTGCACAAACCTAGGGAGCATCAGTTCACAGAATACACAGGTGTTCAATATTCACTGACTGAATAAATACACGATTAAACAATCATTATGCAATTAAAGAATATGGGCAAATTTTCGTATCAAAAGTATCAACTTGTTACATATAAAAAGTCTAGAAATATACATATATTTTTTGGAGAATGTTTTTTATTCTAGGATCTTGGTGGTTCTTTCTCTTGAAGTAAAATAAGTAACTTATTTGACTTTGCTCCTGCTGCTCCCTTCCCTAGAACGTCCTCTGCCTCACCTCTGTGCCTCTCAAAAACCAGTTCAAGCATCACTGGGTCAATGAAGCACTGCCTGAATCTTTTCACAAGGAGGCTCCTTGTGCCCCGACCATAACCTTCCTCCACAGCCCCTCTGACATTCCCCTTCACTATTAATCTTTCTCTCAGATTATAAAGTCCTTGAGGCCAGGACCTGTGACTTCATCATCTCAGTATCCCTCCTGGCTGAAAGGGCACTTGGCCCACAGTAGGCATTCAACAGATACTTCTCAAAATTAACTACCTGATATTAGATTTAATAACCCAGTCAATCCTGTTACACAGTTGTCTTTTAAATTCATCTAGTCCTGGGGGTAGGGGAATTAATTTTAACGCTGTCTCTTACTGTCCCCAAAGATCTACTCATGCACTTATCCTCTTCTGCCTCCATCCACCAGTACACTTGCTAGACTGGACTCAGAAGTCCCCTCAGCCGCACTCTGCCTTTTACAGATGCTGTTCTGTTTTGGAATGCTTTGCTCCTGCCTGCTGAAAAATTCCTACTAGCCCTTCAAGGGCACAAATGTCACTTCACCAGGGATACCATCCCTTGACCTCCCCTGAAAGGAGTGGAACACTTTGCGTCCCCACTGTACTCTGCATGTATCTGAAAAGATGAAACGAGCAATCCTTTATTCAATAAACACTTGAATATCTGTTTTGTGCCAGGTGCTGCCGCAGGTACAAAGTAATGAGCATGACAGTTTGCTCTCACAGACCTCACTATTCAGCAGGGGAGACAGATATTGAACAAACAGAACTGTGATAACTGCTATAAAGAAGGACAGAGAGTACCAGGTGGTACTGAGATTATACAAAAGGAGAATCCGCAGCAGTCTGGGATCAGGAGGGAAAAGCATGGGCAGAAGAAAAAGCCTGGGTAAAGGCCACAGGACAGCAAAATCAGTGGAGCTGGGAAGCCCAGAGATGTGGCTGAACGACAGGTGCAGATCACGTTACTTAGAATCACAATCCCCTGCCGTGCCAATCTCCTTTCCCTTCCCTTGGCCAAGCTGTTTTCCATCATCTGCAGCCCTTCTCTTCAAGTGTAGCATATAATTTATGTACTAGAATTTTTGTTCACATGTATTCTCAGTGCCTAGAATAGTATGGCTTTTCTAGCAGGAACTTAATACCTATCTGTGGAATGAATGAATATGTGCTAAGTTTGGTATGCATATAAGAACAACAGAAAACCATCAAAGAATTTTTAGTTGGAAAAGTAGCAAGATCAGACTTGAGTTCTCGAGAAACCAGTTTGGCCACAGGGTAGAGAACTGGTCTAGAGGAGGAAGTTGGGTAGGAAGGCAACCAGTTAATACCCTTCCATAAGTCCAAGGCCCAGAACACAGTGACTTCAACTAGAGAGGCAGCTGTGGATATAGAGTGGGCAGATTTGAGAGATACTTAGATGGTAGAATCAACAGGATCTGGTGACTAAACGGGGAGGGGGACTCAGACTTTGCAGCCAGTTAAGGTCTAGGTGTGATTGCTAGTTGCCACTTGCAACCTTGGGCATGTTGCTGGAGCTCTCACAGCTTCAGTTTCTTCATCTGACAATGGTAAGAGCACCAGCATCTCACAGGGCACTGTTAAATACTGAGCTGACTTTGTAGAATACTTTCACAGGGAGTGGCACACACAGTATTTGTCAATAAACGTTAGTCACCTCCCCTATGGCATTTATTTATATGCTCATCCTCACGGGGAAATCTTAAAGGACCAGGATTACACTTATCAATACTCTGTACCTAACACAGTGGGCGCTAAGAATGAGATAGTTGTGAAGCTGATGGCAGGAAAACGACTACATTAGTTTTCAGCTATGACTAATAAACCCTAGTGACTAAATGAATTGGAATTTCTTTAACCATTGGCAAAGGCACATTAGAGGACACTGCCCACCCCTCTCCTTACCTGTCTGCAGTCGCAAGTGAGCCTCAATATTCTGCAGTCGTTCCTCCACAGCCTGGTTACCGCAGTCTCGCAGCATGCTGCTAGGGTTATGGCCTGACCCTTGAATTCCTTCAGGTCTAGTCTGTGGTCCATATGTATTCACAACTCTAGAAACTAAGTTAGGAAACTTTTGAGCCTATTAAATTTACATTTCAAAAAGCAGAAATTCTCTCTAACAGTACTTTATGTTCTTTTCATAACCACAAACCCAAGTATAAAGAAAGGCAAGACTTTTTGTTTTATTTTAAAATAAGCAAAACTTAGATAGGAAAGTAATTTCTATTCCATTTTTCTTATGATCTAGAATAAACTTGTGTCAGTGATGAAGGTCTCATGTAGAAGACACTTACCTTTTACGTGACTTTTAAATCCAGGGTAAGGAGTAAAAACGGCATCAGTTCTCGCACAACTATTTTCTAAGGAAAATTTAGATGAAAATAAGTTTAAATACATTCTTAATTTCAAATGTATGAGATTTTGATAACCCTCAAATAATGCATATTAACATATTACTCATAATCAGAAAGTAACTAAATTACTATCATATACAGGATAATATTTAGTGATCTTTACCCTCTAAAATTTATAATATCTAAACTTTTCTAAATTCCTGACTTATATATAGGAAAGTCATCAACATTTAGTGGCATAATTTAATATAATTTTTAATGAATACCAGTATCCCTAAAAAATCATCTGTGCCTTTGAAGAAAATAATTTGTTATAGAAAGTATGTTAATTCTAAGCCAGAGACATTTTCATTTAAATCCACACAGAAATAAACAGAACTCATTATTTTTGCTGAAATACTTTTTTTAAAAAACCAGCATTTTTATATTACTTTATGATCAAATTATTGAATGTCTAATAAAAAGGGATATGCATTTAACTCACTTATTCAGAACTCCACCCAAAAGACCTTGAAACCTGTAAGTTTTACACTTTACCTAGATTTCCAATGCTCATTGAAAAAAATTCCTAATCACAAAAGCCATCTCTTTCCAGACTACTCTTTTCAAAAAACATAATTTTAAGATACAATGTAAAAATGTATTCAATTTTTTTCTAAGCTGAAAAGTATAGTTTCTTTCAAGTTAGACACCAACAAATAAATTACAAACCAAGGGAAAGTTGTAATGATGTTAATATAATATAGAAACATCTCAAATACTACAAAATAATCTTTAAAATGACATTTAAAAAAAACCATGCATTGCAGTAAATTTTCTGAAAAATTCCCATTGATTATTTTATAATAAAAAAATAGATGGTAAAAAAGGTAGTAATAGAAAATTCCCTTTCTTCCTATGGAATTTGATTCTTTATAAAAGTCCAGTGTTTATATTTAGGTCAACTGAGAGGTATTAAAAAGGAGCAAACTAACATGTAACAATTCATTTGAATTTTTTCAGTCTGCTTCCTTAAGATAGTTCTGCTGACACATCAAAAAGCGTTTATTTGAACTACTTCTGTGTGACTAAAATTCCAAATTCACTTATCTTTTTACGTATAGATACTAGACAGAGTCATTTTCTTTTTCTGTTCTTTTTTTTTTTTTGAGACATCTCAAAATATGTTTAAAGGGCCATCACCTCTCCATTCTCTTTCTACCATTTCATGGGGCTTAGGGTCAAAAAAAAAGAAGCTATCATCCGTTCCAGAGCTATATTCCAAATATATGGATTAACTGACCCATTAGAGAGAAATTCAGCATGGTGTGAAGATAGTGAATGTGTGAGTGCTAGCACTCTCCACAGCAATTCTTCCTAGCACTGTTTGGAGCCAGCAAGGCATTGAATGGGCCAAGGAATCCTGCTGAGCATTTCAATTCTTGTCAATTTCTATCCCCTGGTGGTTTATAATAATAGAGCTAGCAGGGAGAACAGAGGTTTAACATTAGTGACACATGTGCTTGCTCCCTCAACAAACCCTTTCTCATGGGCTGCTTGCAGTTGGATTACAGTACCTGAGATTTTGCCACTGCTGCACCTGTTCTGCAAAGCTAACAGTAAAATATGCCAAGCCTAGAGATATGCATGTGTAATGTTCATAGTAGAAAAGGCTGAATTTAGGACCCAGCTCAAGCCTGTATTATTTCATTATTAAGAGAATCAGTGTACCAATATGTTAAGAGTCAGCTCTAGGTTCATCTGACAATTCTGTGTTCATAATAATTAGCCAAGAGATATCAGAGGCAACAAGAAAAATGTTCATTCCAATTAGGAACTCTTCTCTGTAATTTTTTCTAAGAACTACTTGTTCTGATTATTATTATGATGCCTGAATATGATCTATGCTAGTGCTTTGCCATTTTGTATTCTGCAGCATACCTACAGATGTGTAAATATACTATAGCCCCACGTGGAGAGGAAAAGCAGCTGATGGAAAACAGCAAGTGTACACGCTAGGAGAGAAAACGGAAAAAGCCTAAGACATCATCGTCTTCATGACAAACTGGTTTTATCGTGACATAAAACATTTCAAACAGCTAAGGAGTAGTGAGAAAACTGCTCCCTCTTGAGGAGTATTAACTTTACTAAGTTCACGTAATGTATTAACATCACAATTTTATAAGTACCTTTATAGACTTGAAATTTATATAGCTTAGATCCTTGTTACTAGTGAGACTGAGCAACCCTGCCACCCACAACTTCATCTTCATTTCCTGAAGGAACTTCAAAGCAATCTTTTAACCTGTGGTAAACACTAGCCTTTTAATGTTAGCATTTATTTGATTTTTTGCATAACCGAGATGAAAATTATGCTGCAAGATAGTCTATTATTAAATAGAAGGAAATTCTGCTGCCTTAGTTTCCAAAGAAGCCTGTGAAATAAATTGTGTTCTTAAAGTTATTCATTTTTAAAAACAAATGAAAGATCATTAAAATCCTACAAAAATTAACTTTTAGGTAGTTACCTTGATTACAATCAATAACATTGCAAAATTCCCTGACGTTGTTTTCATTGATTTCAGCTTGCTTTCTTTCAATAAATGCAGATATTCGTCTGTCAATCTACAAACAATAAGTTGACATGTCTTAATTCCAACATACAATTAAAAGAAAATTCTCCCCCAGCCGCCAAAGAAAAACAACTTACTTCTGCTTTTCCAGCCTTTATTTGAACTACTTCTGGATCAAAATGGATCTGTGTCTTTTTCACATCTCCTAAATCACAATCTTTGTGCTTTTCTTCCTCCTGTAGGTCGCCAATGGGAAATTTGCCATTTACTTCATTCTTGTTCCCCGTTTCTGTTTTTCCTATCTCTTCAACAACAGTTGGATTCTCCTCTTTAATCAGAGGCTGAAGTTTTGCTAAAAAAGGCTGAGAAGAACATAATTCCATCTGCTGAGGTTCAAACTGATCAAAATTAATTACACATTTACCATACCCATAAATTTCTGTTAAGGCAATATTTAATATCCATTAACTAAATATAAAAGGTAGGCATATCATACATAGATCTGACCACATGTGTTTGCTGTTGTTCTCTGCTATTGTGACCAATATCATTTGCTATAAATCTGTTAAAAAAAAAGAAAGAAAACCTGAGGAAATTTTAAATTTTCTTTGAGGGTACCATTCTGTCACTCATCTTTTATTTTGTGCCAAATCAAAGCCTCAGCCTCTGGCACCAATGCCACTTAATTAACATGTCATTCAAATGCATCCTCAGAACACTACGGCTTAGTATTTTTCCTCCTTAACATGAGAGCCAGTGCTCTCACTCAGCAAAGCCCTGCATTATCACTGTATCACTGGAGATTCCCCACTTGAAACTGCAGTTGGCCAAAGTGAATGAGAGAGCATAGACATGAAATATATAGGTGTTATGCTGAGTGAACACTCAGGCTTTCCCTGACATGGCAAGGTATCTTCTTGGGTCATGAAATTAAATTTTTAAAAAGAAAACGAACAAGGAGGAAAAAAAAAACAAAAACCCTACCAAAAGCCACAGCTGAAAAGAGGTAGATGCCTATCACTATGCCAGAGGGGGGAAAAAAAATCCCTGTTGTATAATGTAAATTATATTCCCCATTCCCACCACCCACCATTAGGCCTCAATTGAATGCTATAGCTCATTGCTTCCACCCTTTCAAGCTAGGGTTAACTATCACTTTTAACATGAAACAGAATTAAAATTTCCCATAAAGTCATTGAACAGAGGACTGAAAATTAATGTCTATTCCATTAGTCAAAACACATCAACACTTGTCAATGTTCCAATTATTTTTTCATGCCTACTATTTTGCTTCCATTGTCTGCTATGCCAAATATTCTTCTGAAACCTTAGGACATCTCAATAGCAGTAAACTGACCAATCCAAACCTTTTTGACACTTCATGCTTTATACTTTGATTAGAGATAAACTGTGAACTTACATTAATTATAACTGCAAAGATGTTCAACTGGAAACTAGCAAGGTCATAGTACTGTTCAGTTATTGAACTGAAATATTAAAAAAATATAGCAATACTATTATAAATTAACAATTCAGTGTTGCCTTTTAATATAAAGGATGAATTATTTTAAATGCTTAAGAAAAAAGAAGATAAAATAGTGACTGGCTACTTCCTAAGATGAGACATTAATGTCACAGAAATTACTTTCTTTTTAAAAACTATGCTGAAACTGTTTAATTGCAATAGACACTCCAGGATGTGTCATGCTGGGATAATGCCACTTCTTGAACCACTGAAAGCACTCCATGAGCCTCCAAACTCACCCAAGGCATGGAATCATTATCATAGCATGACACACACCTGCCGTGTCTTATTGCTTAATTATAACCCACCATAGATGCAACTGTATTGAATTTTCAGTACAAGTCTAGAATTGAATAGAATTGCATTCATTCACTCTTCATATCCACATCAGCCTATTGGGCTATATTCCTGTAACTGTCCTGATCACTATGTAAATTAACAGATTTGGATCCAATCTGGCTCAAGTAACCTTTTATTAATAACACTATTAATATAGTGTTAAGACTGAACTGACAAATACTCCAGCTTACAATTTAACTACAATTAATTTCTATTCTAAATATCGAGTTAACATTTTTAACAAGAAATTTACCTGTAAATATAAAACGTGTTGTTCAAGTGCACTAAAGAGCAAAGCAGGCTGGAATGCCGTGAGGCTCTGGAGCTTGTTCCAATCGATTGTAATTTTCACCACATCATCTCTGAGGTTAAGCTTCAAAAGGGCAAACAAGCAACATCACAAAAATTACACGATTAAGCTGTACATATGAGATTGTGACAAAAATAAAATTTCTATAGAGTAACATGCCTATTTAGCTCAAAGTTCTCAAGTTTTTAATGATACATTATAATGTCCTAACTAGTTACCATTTTAAAAGGCAAAGAAAGATGCAATTGTGTAGCAAAGCAGAATGACATCTCACTGTAATTCTATTCTTAAGTCTGTGTAATGGGACCATCTTACAGGTAAAATCAGCCATAAAAGACAAAAACATGAGGTTTTGCTACTTCAATATCTAAAAACCTTTGGATTTGGGCCAAGATAGGCTTGTCCTAGTCAGAATCCTACTGTTTCTAGCTCAGAGTATTAAACAGAGGGGGCAGATACATTTATGAAAGGTAAGATATACACATTTCTTTGTGTTAAATACGTACATAAATGCGTAACTGATAGATTACTCCGATGTCGTCTGAGTCACACTGTGCTTTCAATTTTAACCAATTTAAAAAATAATTTAAAAATCAAGATGATTCATACATATTATAAAATCTAGGGATAAATGGCAAGAATTTTATCTACTTCAAATAAAAATTATTTTTTAGCTGTGGAAATCCGAAATGAAAAACAATTACAAGGGGGAGGGCATAGCTCAGTGGTAGAGTCTGTGCCTAGCATGTACAAGATCCTGGGTTCAATCCCCAGTATCTCCATTAAAAATAAACATACAGAAACCTAAACCTAATTACCACCCCCCCCCAAAAAAAAACGAAAAACAATTACATTTCCACAGAGGTGAAATAAATGGCCAGAGACAAGGAAAGAAAGCCAGACCTATTTCAAAACACTATTTTCTAGTAGTGTGAGGGCTCATTATATGAAAATTTCTTATAAATTGGCTATGTGTGACCTATTAAAATAAAATTATATTCAGAAAGCTACCAAGAACCTGAATATAAAATTAATATCAAAATGAGTGAAAATTTGAGAAGGAAAGCCTCTATCTCCAGTCTTTCAAGTGAATAAAAGTAAAACGCCACTTTTCTAGGACATGTGTTCACAGTAAACATAGATACAATGCATCATAGGATCAAGTTAACTACATTATTTTTTCAGAAGTCATTTAAAATTAGTCATATTTTCTACAAAATAAAAACAAATATTACATTAGTTCAAATATAGGTTTTAAATTGTAATTATAATAAAACAAAAAGATGAATCAAAGAACTGAAAAGATCCAAAGTTCCCAAAAGATGCACTATACTGAATGAATACTAAATGACCAAAATTTACCATCCTTTGACCAGAAATATTTAAAGTCCATACTAGACAAGAATAAAGAACTAAGAAGCTCTGTATAGGCCACACTGGCAAAAATTAGTTTATATTAATTTAACTAAGATTTTACATTAAGCTTATAACCTCAACTTATCTTAATTAATAACTTATAAAGATTTCATTAGACAATATCTTACATGTAGAAGTAAACTATTACTATACTTTTACAGTTCTTAAAGAGCTCTATGGTCAATTATAACAAAGTTATGAATACAGTTTGGGGACAAAGCAGGCAAATCCTCAAGCAAAGCAAAGCATCCAATTTTCTAGAGAAAGTAATAATTTACAGAAATTCAGCAGAATTATGTAAGCCTTCAAGTGCAATTAAAGATACTTGGACTTTTAAGAAAACCACCTAACAATGTCACAAATTAACTTTAGAACTATTCCAATACATCCAACTATTCCCTACTAGTAATACGAATTCTATGCATTTTTACTCTATAGAACTCGTAAGTGTAAACCATTCACTGGAAAATGTATTAGTCTGTCATTAATACAGACTATTTAAAATATGTATTTCAGTAAAAACTTTATTAAATTAAGATGAAAACACAAACTAACAATAAATAATCCTCAACTTGGTAAAATGGACATCCAGAAGCAAGCAATAAAATTAAAATCAGTAAATCGGAAATCTGGGATAGAAAACATTTTTTAAACATTCAATTTTATGTTTCCTATTGAGAAGATCTAATCCAATGATACTACACAGAATGAATTTAGACATATCACAATATACATTTCTTAAAAATTCCTTAAACTTGTTTAAAAAAGAAATAGTGATTTCCACCAGGGACAATTTTATAAGTATAGTACTCTGGTTTTTATTCTTATCTTTAAACAATACATCTCAAAATGTAAAGAGTATTAGCAAAGTGGTTAGCAGTTAATTAATGAGACAACCTTATTTTTTGACACTTTTATAGGTGGTCCCTTCACTCTGTCATGAAAATTCACCAAATACTTAATCTAAACATTTTTGACAAGTGACATAAGTAAAATTTAATCATATCTCTACCTACAGAATATCTGAATGTTTAGAATTTTAAAATGAATTTTACAAAATCAGTATGCAAAATATTTCAAAAGGAACGTTTAAATTATTTCTTAATGTTATTTTTTTCAAAGTATCTCATCGAGGGGAAAAAAACTTCTGTAAACTTCTTTCATCCTGATGTTAGGATATAAAAAAACGTTAAAGTTCCAATGTCCACGCCATACAAAGTTCTCAAACTTTTAAACCATTTACAGATCTTGAATCCTGAGATTGAAATATTAATGTCCTCAAGTCTTACAAAGCAATTTTAAGTCCTTGACAAAAACTGGGTTTAAAAGTTTTAACTTTAAGCCGATTCTATTAATAATCGTTTTATTACACCAAACAATGTTTAGAGTAATGCTCTTTATAAGTCAGGACAAACATTAGGGTTTTTAAAAATACTGAAATACCGTTTTAAAAGACTGATTCTCCACCCACGCAAGGTTTTTAAAAATGATTTTCACAAATCAGACAAACGCTCTATTTTCATAAAGGAAATTATCATTAGCTTCAACACAAATGCCTAACTCTGTCTATGGTTAAAAAAATTTCTTTTAAAAGCAAACGTATTCTCAACTGTTTCTCATTTTAAAATCTGCTTTGCATTTTACACTATGAAACAAAATAGTGACTTCACGGTTACACTCTAAGGAGCACTTTTATTCAAACCCGATTTTATTAAGACATTTCTACACTATTAGCCAGTTAAACTACTTAACAGTTAAATAACTAATTAAACAACAGCTGTGATGCAAACAGTATCAACCATGGATAACTCATCTAACCTTAAGGTAGAAATAGTTTAGGCTAATTTCTTTTTTCTTCCTCCCGGTTTGAAAGAGGAAGAGATGCAAGCAAGGGCCAGAAGGAAAAAAATAAAACCAAGTGACTCATAAGAGCAAATCACCCAAAAAAGGCGTGAAGAGAGCTTTTCCAGAAATCTCAGGGCGTACTAACCTATCCATTTCTATAATGAATGAAATGGAGGAAAAGGAATCCTTTAAACAGCCAGGCGCCCCCCAAACCCTCAGAGCAGCTTTTTCCACAACCATTCTCTCCAAGCGTGTTCCTCTCCGAACCAGGTTTTCACTTAACACTATCCTCACTCACTCTTGGGGAGAAGAGTTGCAAGAAAATCTGGCGTGCAACCGGTCGTGAATTTAACCCGCGCGGCCACCCTCACCCGGACCGCAGGCCGCCGGGCCCGGGCCCCTCCCCCGGCCTCGGCAACTCAGGCCGGGTCCCACGCCCCGCAGCCTCCGCTGCCCCCCGCCTCGGCTCGAGGGAGAGAGGCGGGAGGGGCCGGATGGTTCCCAGACCCCTACTCCCATAGGCCACCACTCACTTGTCCAGCCAGGGTATGCAAGGAGCGAAAGACTTCGCAGACCACCTCTCGGGAGAGGTTGGGGCTGCAGCTCCGCTCCAGGTTCCTCTCACCGATGGTCGGGAGACTAAGCTCGGCGGCAGCAGCCATGACACTTTCGTAGGCCGCCCCCGCCAGCACCGAGGCGTACTAACAACCCACCCCTCCCTCTCCAGCTTTCGTCGCTCCGCGATGATGTAAAAGCGCTGCGTCTCGTTTAGAGCGGGGCTTTGAGGACCCACCCTCTCAATGTGACTGACAAGCACATGCACCAATCAGGTGCAGCTACAGCGTTCCGCCGAGGACCTCCAGCTGGTTAATAACCACCTAAACGAGGCTGGCCGCAGTGTTTGAGATTGTGATTGAAGTTGTTATCTAATGAGAGTTAGCTGCGTGAAGCCTACCTTGACTGTTACATGTTGCTTATAAGTGTTGGTAAGAGAAAACTTTTATAGTTAAATGTCAGAGTTTTAGTCCCAAATTGAAAGTTGAAATTTTAACATGGCACTGTGGAGTGGTTTGGAGAAAGATCGCTGGCCAGGGATGTAGCGGTGCCCACACGTATTTCTAAACATTGAAAACTCACACGGAATTGTCTTAATTGTTTAGAATGTTTTCATCTGTACACAAATTAACATCACCAATTTTTCATGTGAGGAAGAGGAGGATATAAAACAAGAAAAGCTCTTTTATGCCTCATTTCTATCAAAGGGATGATACTAATTACCTTAAATCTGCAAAATAATTCTGTCAAGTTTTAAAACTTGCATCAGTTGCCATTCTCTGGGTGATACGGTAGAGACACTCATCCTATAACTGTTTCAAAGAAGGGAAACAGTGTCAATATGATTCCAACAGTAATTTCACCCAATGAAGTAACTTCATGCAACACAATCTTTGAAATTAGAGGATAAATCCGAATTGAAATTTGACAAAAGTATTACTTATCAGATAATTTTAATAAAAGATTTTTGAAATACTTTGTCATATTACAGAGTCTAACGTTAAAAATTTTGTTTTCCCGTTGAAAACCAAAACAACGTTAGAAATTTTTAGTGTTAAACTCTATTCAAAAGCACTTAAAAATAAACATCAGTTTAGAGATAAGGAAGATCGACTTAAAATTCTTAATTCTAATAGTCTAGTGCATTTACAGTTGAAGCAGAGGTGGAAACTTGCACAATGTGTATTCTTCAGTTTTAGAGCAGGCCAAATGAAAGGGAAGGAATAAGGCATCAAGGAACTGGGATTAAGGGCAGTGGGATAAAAGAACTCCTTTGACCTGCCCCCAGGGAGCCTCTTAATTAGGCTTTCATTTCCAAAGATCACCAGGCTTGACAGGATCTTAAGTAATCTCGTCTGTTCCCTTGTTCCCAGCAAGATATACAGTTTATAACCCAGCCTATGTCTAGAGACATCCAGAAAAAGATTTCACAATATCTAATCCCAAATTGAGCAACCTTCCTATTCAAGCCACTTATCCTCATATTTAACCTAAATTCATGATTCTCTGCAATGTTGGCCTATTTTCTTTGCCTTTGGTTCTCCTGTTAGAGAATAATTCTAATGGGATAACTAGAAGTTTTTGTTTTGTAACATATTAGCAACCAGTTTCAGATCATTTGTTTTCATTCATTCATTGTTTTGTTTTCAAATATTCAGGACACATATGAAATACATTTGGGAACATACTTTGTATAGTATAAGAATACCATATTTAATAAGGTACTGCTCATTCTTTTCTTTGCCATCACTGACTTTGAAATTTCAAGTATTATTTGTTCTCTTGAACTCCTAATGCAGAATTAATTGATGGCCATTTGATCTGTATATAAATTCTCTATGGGATTCTGTTACAATATGCAGGTTCCCACTTACAGTATTGCTTACTTAGCCAATATTTACAATTTAACTCTTTTGCTCATTATTTCTTCTTTCCAGGGATCTTCCTCCTTCCTGATGCCTATTATCTTCATTTTTGGATTTTTAAAAATTATTTTCTTCTCTTTATTTTAATTAGAATAGTTTGTAGGCTGAAAAGATGTGGATTTCCTTGGGCTTTCAATAGAAATATACAGATAATGTATAACAAAAATATGATGAAAGCTATGAAATTTAGAAAAGGAGTAAAGGAAATAATTTACCCTTTATAGAAAACTAATTACAGTTTATAAAGCTGGGGGCTGAAAAATCTGCTGCCTGGCAGAAATGATTCAACCTGCTGGTCTTGGCATTAGCAACTGAATCAGAAATACTGTCCTGAAAGTTCATGCTAAGAATCACTTGGAAGGATAGAAACTATAAGTGAAATCTAGGCTATCTACCTTATCAACAAAAACCTCCTTTATGAAGAGCTTTAACAGTAGGACTCTATAAAATAAAGCAGTGCCCAGCAAAATGCTCTGAGATATTATACATGCTCAACAGATGGTTGTTCAATGTATGGTAGTACACCTCTTCCCTAATGTAGAAAAGGAAAAATGGTATTTGCCTTCTCTTGCTCCCCATCACCTGATAGATAAGTTCAATTTCCTTAGAATGGCATCTAAGGCTCCTCTCATGATCTAGTCTTTGCCTAAATTTCCAGCCTCATTTTCAACCACAAGCTACTCTGGTGCTTAGTGTTCCTGAAACTGCTTTTTACTTCTTCAAAACTTAGTGATTTTTTTCTTTTTTGCCTCCATGCTTTTATTTATGCCCTTGCTTCTTGTCTGATTGGAAAACTCCTATTCTTCCTTCAAAAACTCCAGCTCAGAAATCTCTGTGAAGCCTTTCCTCATACTCCTTGTCATAAAGCGCTTATCTTCCCTGCTTACACAACTCCTGCAACTCATATATGCTTCCATTATCACATTTCTGACCCACAGAAACTGAGTGATAAGAAATATTTGTTGTTTTAAGCCACTAAATTTGAGGGTATTTTGTTGCCCAGTGGTATATAACAATAGAGTTTTCTGGGTTTCTTGGATCTGTGATTTGATGCTTTTACTATTTTTGGAAATTTCTTGGTCATCATCTTTTGAAATGTTTCTTCTGCTGCAATCTCTCTCTATTCTCTTTCAGGGATTCCAATTACATGTATTTTAGACTGCACAGAATTGTTCTACAGGGGTTGGATACTCTATTTTTAGTTTTAAACACTTAACCAAATCAGCCTCATCATGCTGCCCCTTAAAACACCAGTCCAAGCTGAGCAGCACTCCCTTCTCTGAGGGACTCCACAGGAATATTCCTGTAGATTTTAATAATTCCTAAAAACTCTTTCCTTTGTTCTCACAACCCTAGAGGGGTTAGCTGTTTTCTGAAATAGCCCAACACTGTGATATATTATTGTTTTCTTATTATCTTTTCAGTTAATTAACAATTTCTATTAATATGTTCCCTGTTCAAGTAACAGGTTTTCTAAACCTTGAGTGAATCAGAAGTCAGTACAGGGAGTTCCAGTAAACAAATCCTCAAAGCTGGGATTTTGAAATTGAAATTTACTTGACTCTCCATTAATCTATGAGCATTTATATGTACCATGTTTGTATACTTAAGACTTAGCATAGTTTCTGGCACAAAGTAAATTGCTCAGTATATGCTTGTTGAACTGAATTTATTTGCATAAGGTGAACAGATTTGTAAAATGGAAAAAAGAGAAATAAGTTTCTACTCTGGTGGGGAAATTATAACATATAGTAAGAATGCTACAAATAATTCATTTCAAATAATGAAGCATGTCTGTTTATCTTCTTCTGGAATAGCACATTCAGAGTGCTCAAATTTTCCTTAATGACTAAATATAGCTAGCCTCCATAACCATGCTCATGAATGATACCCATACAAATTAATTGTACCTACTATATGCCAGACACTCTTGCTAGCATTGAAGGTACAAAGATGAATCAGACAAGGACTGTCTCTCAAAAAGCTCCAGTTCTCACGGGCTAGGCATATATGTAAACAAACAACTATGATATAATATGACAGTGATATTAGAGGTATGTATAAAGCAGTATAACCAATTAGTTCCTGTGGGGAGGAGTCTGGATTCAGTGTCAGGAGAAGGATATTCTGAACTTTTCTCTCATAGCCTAGCGTTTATATGCATTACAAAAGAACACCAAACGTGACTCTTGCTTGAAAAGATCTGGATGACTTAGCTTCTATTAATACCAGAAAAGAAAGCTTGATAAATTCCTCTGCGCTTGGACACCTCACTTATCAACTTCCCTTTTTCCTCTTCATATATGAGAAGGATGGACGCACTGTTGGAGTACTTACCCAGAAACATGGGGATCCCCACTGCCCCACAGGGCACTACAGGCAGCAGTAAAGTACTGCTAAGCACGCTGTTAAGCACCACAGTGAGGCAGTGGCACCCGACGCCCCCTTGTCTCAGAGCCACTCCTGCCACTGTCCTTTTAGTTAAGGCCACTGGAGAAACAGCCACGGAATCCCCTCTAACCATCTTTGTACCGCGTGCAGTGGACGCTCTCCTGAATTCTCATCACACTCCACACCTCTCCACCAGTTGCCTGACCTCTTGCTAACCGCTCCTCATAGGATTCTTTCTCATTACAATCACCTTAACCCTGACGCCTTTCTTCCCTCTTCTAACGGTGATGCTCCTCATGACTGTTAGACTCTGACAGATCACTCTTTGACGCCTCACAACGATTTACAGGAAACTCATCTAACCAATGCTGAGTTCTCATGGTTTACCAATGATTCTTATTTAAAGGGTGAAAATAGTAAATATTTTGCTGGATATGCTGTTGCAACGCTTTTTTGAAGTCATGGAGGAGGCATCTTTGCCTTTGGCTGCCTCAGCCCAACAGGCTGAATTATATGCTCTTACCTGAGCTTGTCCTCTAGCCGAGGGCAAAACTGCATTCATACCAGGATGCCTCTGGAGGAGCCCGTGACTTTGGAATGCTATGGAAACAGAGACGTTTCCTTACCTCTACTGGGGATAAAATGAAAACATGGCTCTTATGTCCAAAATACATTAGATGCCATACTTTTACTGACCATTTTGTTTATTGTTAAGGTCCCTGAGCATTCCAAACTTGACTCCCTGGAGTCTAAAGGAAACTACCTCACTAAGAACTATGCTCTCTCTCAAAGGAACCAGCACCCGAACTCAGTCATGGTCCAAATGATAATCTAGGAAATCTGACTAGATATGCCCAAA